GAAGGATACAGACTCAGAAAATCTCAGCCAGGTATGAGTGGCTTACACCTGTAATCCTAGCTACCCAAGAGGCTGATATCACAGTTCCAAGCAGTCTAGGCAGGAAAGTCTGCAAGACTCTTATCTCCAATTAACCAGCAAAAAGTCAGAAGCAGATCTGTGACTCCAAGTGGTAGAGCACCCTGAATTCCAGCCCTAGTACCAGCACAAAATGAAAGAAAGAAAAGGGAGAAAGATGGGTGAAAGGAAAAGAAAGGAGAAAAGAAATTCTCAGAACCTTGGGGAGCAGTGGCACTTAAAAGGTAAAAGAAAAAAGCAAGTCAATGACTGGGAGATATCGAAAGATAAGTTAAAAACAAGTCAAAACAATCCCACTTTTGGGCATTTACCCGAATGATCACAAACAAGACCACACTAAAGCTACCAGCATGACTATGTTTGTTGCAGCATTATTTACCATAGCTAAGATATGGAACCAACCCAGATGCCCCTCAGTAGATGAATGGATCAAGAAAATGTGGTATATATACACAATGGAATTCTATGCCTCCATCAGAAAGAATGACATCGATCCATTCGTTAGGAAATGGAAAGACTTGGAAAAAATTATATTAAGTGAGGTAAGCCAGGCCCAAAGAAACATAGGTCCCATGGTTTCCCTTATTTGCAATAACTAGTATATGTCTGAGTCAAGTAGAAAAGGTCAGATAAGTTGATGTTAGGTGAAATGAACCTCAAGAACTCAAATGGTTTTTCTTTCTTGCTATTGTTTCTAACATATTTATAAAATGATTTCTTTGTTGCTTTGTATGTCCCTCCCCCACAGTATAACCCCTGTTTTCATTGTGTTTGATGTTGGTATAATTTGGGGAGGGGAAGGGAAAAAACAAATTATTTAAATAGGGATACAGGTGGACCCATTGCACCAATGAGATGTACAAGGCGTTATGTCGAAAAACTTTACAACTTTGGCTCTGGGGAGGGAGGGAGATGGGAAGGGATGGGAAGGGGAAACAAAGGAGGAGGCAACAATGCTTGATAAGAAATGTACTCATTACCTTGCTCATGTAATTGTAACCCCTCTGTATGGTATTTTCACAATTAAAAAATGTATTTAAAAAAGTCACAGAAATAAGGAGAAAGCAGTCAGCCAACAGTAAGTCCTGAAGAGATTTGAGGAAGTTGAGAACTTGAGTATAAGTAGTGGAGACAAAAACCAGATACACATTCCCTACCCTGCTTATATTATGGATTACACACACACACACACACACACACACACACACACACACACAATCATAAATATTGTAAAGCACCATATAGATGTAAGACTTCATGAATATGTACTATAGACAATTTGAGAATGTAGATTGCTTCCTGGCAGTACCCCCACGGGGCTGTCTAATCTTGTCTAACTCTAGGTACATATATCGTATCCCTCTGGAATACTATGCTAGTTTTTCTCTTGGCCACTACACGTGTCAAGAGCTTATTCTGATAGTGCTAATCTAGAAAGTGCCCAGAGGGACAAGCGTATTAAAATCACAAATTCATTACTTTCTTGAGACTGGGACTTACAGCGCTCCAATAGTCTTATAAATTGCCTCTAGAAATTAGAAGGCAAAAATTAATTCTGCCTCAGAAATTTGCATCCACATTTATGAATGTTATTTCTCTCGCCTAATTACTTCTGCATCCATGGCCACGTCAAAGGGCAACACAGGCCTTTTCCTCTGCAGAGTTCCTCAGTCGTTCTACAGAGATATATAAGGTATTTCTGTCACCTTGAAGTCCAGCTTCTGGATTTCGATTAGGCCCTCTAACTTATATCATGTAGTCTTCAGTTATTCCTAAATTCAGCTTATGTGGAGATAACTGTTTTCATGGTTTCCATAATTGTTATAAACTGGAAATACCTAATATCCACTTCTCACTGACGTGTCAAAGTTAATAAGGAGTATTAGTGAATCTGTTTGTGTTCCTTGTCTTCAACTGAAAGCTATTTGTTGCTGGGCACCAGTGGCTCATGCTTATAATCCTAGCTATTCAGAAGGCTGAGATATGAGGATACAGTTCAAAGCCAGTGTAGGCAGAAAGTCCACGAGACTCTTTATTTCCACTTAACCAGGAAAAAACCCAGAAGTGAAGCTGTGGGTGGAGTGGTAGAGCAACATCTTTGAGCAAAAATGGTAAGGAACCAGCACCTAGGCACTGAGTTCAAGCCCTAGTACTAATATGCACGCATGCACACACACACACACACACACACACACACACACACACGCGCGCGCACGCGCGCGCACACGCACACACACATGCACACACACACACACGCACACGCACACACACACCAGAGCATTTGTTATACCAAATTACACCAGGCCTTGATCATACCACAGGTATAAATTTCCTGTCATTTTGAAACAAGATTTCTAGGCAATTAGCTTGGTTCCTTCTCATGGAATTGCATTTCCAAAAAAAAACCTGACATTGAATATTAAGAAACACTATTGTCACCAAAGTCTTACTTCTTCATTTGGTTCTTACATTTCCAGGATGTACTCCTCACCATGACTCAAGTCAGATAGCAATTAGAGTGAATGAAGAGGTAGGTGTGTGTGTGTGTGTGTGTGTGTGTGTGTGTGTGTGTGTGTGTGTGTGTCTATAAACAACAAAATAAAATAACCCGTGTTAGGTTTAATGAAACCTTCTTGTTTTTGATACTGATACTGGGGCTTGAACTCAGGGCCTGGGTGCTGTCCCATGGCTTTTTCACTGAAGACCAAGCTTAGTCACAGCTCTACTTCTGGTTTTATGGTGGTTAATTGGAGATAAGAGTCTCATGGATTTTTCTACTTCAAATCTCAATCCTTAGATTTCTCAGTCTCCTGAGCAGCTAGTATTACAGGCATGAACCTTCAGTGCTTGGCTATGAAACCTATTAATAGTAGAATCAAGGAAGAAAAAAGGACCCAAGACTCATCAAGGCTATAAAACAAAAGGAAGAAAAAGAAAGTAAGCTGAGACTTGAGTAGACCCTAATCCACCAGGAGGTGTGCTTCAATAATTTTGCACCAATTTCTGTTGAAGTCCAACAGCAATGTAATTCCTTTAATCCAAAGAGATTACCTATACAACCTTGGAAACAACCTGTGTATCTTCATTTACTCTTAAAGAATTTAATTGTAACTTAACAAATTGGTTTCTTGACATGACATACTTAGAAATTATGGCTTATGGAGCCCACCGCCCAAATTGTATGACCTGAAAGTTTAAAAAGTTATTTCTGGTAGCTACTAGAGGCTTAGGAGAATGCTTTTTTCACTTAACTAGTAGCTAATTGGTATATACATGAAGACATCTAAATATACACTTACAATTTTTGTTTTAGACAAACTAAACTTCCAGATGGAGGGGAGAGTGTCAGGAGAGGGGGGCGGGCTCTGTTTTGGTGATTTGTTGACACTGTAAAAGGAACTGGCTGCTTAATAGGAAAAGAAATCAGAATAAACACTAGTAGAAAATAAGAACAATGGGTATATGAAGAGTGACGGCTAGAAGTTTACTCTGTTGTGGTATATAAATATGCAACATGGCTGGGAAGGTGGCTCAGTGGTAGAGTACTTGCCTTGCATGCATGAGGCCCTGGGTTTGATTCCTCAGCACCACATAAGCAGAAAAGGCTGGAAGTGGAGTGATGGCTCAAGTGGTAGAGCACTAGCCTTGAGCTGAAGAGCTGAGGTACAGTGCCCAGACCCAGAGTTCAAGCCCCATAACCACCACCAACAACAACAAAAAGCAACATAAGAATATACCCTGAGCTGGGCACTGGTGCCCACACCTGTAATCCCATCTAACCAAGAGGCTGAGATGTGAGGATTGTGGCTTAAAGCCAGCCTGGGAAGAAAAATCAGTGAAATTAGTTATCAAAAAGCTGGAATCCAAGCTGTGGCTCAAATGGTAGAGCAATAACTTTGAGAAAAACAAACAAAAAAAGGGACAATACCCAGAGTTCATGCCCCAGTACACACACACACACACAGACACACACACACACACACACACACACGTGCACGCGCGCGTGCACACACACAGACACACACACACACACACACACACACACACACAGACTACACTCTGAAAGCAAAATGGTCTCAACACTTTACTATTATAGATATTAACAATGAGGACCATAATCTACAAGTCTGAGAATGTCAGTCTGTCAATATATCATTTATCTCTAATCTTAATATAATTTTAAATGAAATAATATCCATTTGATGTGCCATAACTTCTGTGTTGGCACAGAACATAAAGGCACATAATTATTTTTTTTAAATTTTGTTTAGGCCAAGTAGCTCACGCCCATAATTCTAGCTGCTAGAGAGGCTGAGATCTGAGGATCACTGTTAGAAGCCAGCCCAGGCAGCAAAGTCCTCATGAGATTCTTATTTGCAATAAACCACTCCAAAAACCAGAAGTGGTGCTGCAGTTCAAGTGGTAAAAACTACCATTAAGCACGAAGAGGCTTGGAGACAATGCCCAGGCTCTGAGTTCAAACCCCACAACCGACAAAAAATTTTTTGCTTGTTTATTGTGGGACTGGGGACAAAATCCAGGGCCTTAAGCATGCTAGACAAGAACTCCACCTCTAAGCAAAATCTCCAGCACCCCTCCCCTTTTTAAGGACATACTTATTGCAAATAACTTATTCTTCTTTCACACTTTACTGGAGCAGCAATGGTGTCAGAGAGGGAAGGGTAGTAGAAGAAACCCAGGGAATGTCAGCATCCAGAAGACTTGCTAAGCAAATGCACTCAAGTCTCATTACAGTATGTAGGAGCACATATGCCTGTGTACAGAGCTCACCCACATGTTCCTGTTAACAATGCCCTGGTTTTGATGTTTCTTGGTTTGAGAAAACCAAACAAGGAAGGAAGGAGGGAGGGAAGGAAGAAGGCCAGGTAAGAAAGGAAGAAAAAAGGGAGGGAGTCATTTGGAACTATCAACATGAGTAACAGGAATTTTCTTGGTCTTTTATTGAATTTTGCACATAACATTTGCAATGAAAACACTTTAAATCCAACAACAAAATTTTAAAAATGGATCAGATAAAAAGTCACATCATCAAAACTCACAGATATTTACTGGTATTTACTTAACAGAAGGCCAAAATTATTATGACAAGGACATCAGAGAACATGATACAGAGTTCATTTTAACTTTACATTACTATGTGATAAGTTAACATAACTCAAAGGCAAAAATGAATATGTAAAATATGTGATTTTTACATCATATTCAGAATTCCATTATTTATTATTATCATTAAGAACAATGATTACTTCATTCAATACAAAATAATACTTGTTTGACTTACCTATTTGAGGAGAACAAAATTCAATGTTAGAAAATTTAAAATTCTGATATAATAAGTACAGGTTTCATTTAAATATTCACAGTAACATTGCATTGCTAGTCAGTAAAAGTACAGAATGTATCACAGACTGTTGACTTACAAGGGAAAGCAGTAACAGTGTCTATCTGTTGTTTAAGGAAGAATAAAATGTAGCATTTGTTAGAAATCAGTGCAGGAATCTGCTCCATAGTCAAATTGAGCAGTTATTAGATTGTAATTTGATCTGGGGAAATCCTTAGATGCATTTTGAAATACGTGGGGGGAAGTTTGCCAAATATTTGAACTATGACTAATGTTAATAATGCTGTTATTTAATGAAAACCAGTTATTTTTGTGTATTTATAGGAAATGAGGTTTCTTTAGAGAGAACGCCTCGTGGTTCTGTCTCTGTCTATTGTGATCATTTTAACGAATAAATGAGAAAGGTCAGGGAAGACCATTTTTCAGCATGTTGACATTATGCGAAGTGAGTGTCTGTAGTCAGATGTGTGGACTTAATCTGTTTTAGGTGGACAACATCTGGATATTACCAGAAGGAGGACAAAAACTGTGAAGCACCTAAAGAGGTCTGACTTTACAATAGCAATAATACCTTTCCACTAAAACTTGAAAATTTCCATTGCATCTTTAAAATATATTTTGGTCCAAGTTTTAAATATAATGGCAATGACAGGCTTAAAAGAAATCATGTCAGAGGATAAAGAACATGAGCTTCAGAACTACTTTTTAAAAAGAATTTTGGTACCCGTATAGGGGCTTGAACTCAGGAGCTTTCACTCTTCTTGGCTTTTTCACCATTGACATTGTATCATCTGAACTACATAGATAGCGACTTCCTAGAGTCACTTATTAGTCAAAGAATTTTGGAGAAGTCATTTGATTGTTTCAAACCTTTATTGCTCAATTTCTAAACTTCAGATGGTATTAGTACCCCATGTGGATGGTGTCTTAGAGATAAAGTAGAGTACGTTCATGATCCTTGCAAATTATGAGATGAATGTAAATAAACACATAGGAAACTTGCTGAAAAACTTCAGTGGATTGTTTTTTTGTAACTCTGACCTGTGTATAATTATCATTGGTAAACATTTCAAAAAATATTCATGAAACACTTAATATATTTACTGTTTGCTTTCCCTTGTGTGTATTGTATGTGCACATATATATATACACATACATATATATGTATATGTATACATATGTATACACATACATATGTTATGTATACATATATATTTTTATGTATGGGAGCTTTTTAACATAAATGACACCATTTTATGGGCCATTCCCAAAATGGTCTATACAGTGTCCTTAAAAATTGAAAAAAGTGGATATTCTTATTTGGTTTCTATTCACACAATGTTATGGTATTTAAGAAAAACATTTCAACAGTTTTAAGTAAACTAAATACTTAACCTCCCCCACCCCCCACTAACCATTATGATCACACCACAGAAACAACTTACCACAAGAGATACTACTATGGTTTGTAAGGGCAGTTCACAAACGGTTGTCAGATATACCATCACACAATACACTAGAATTACCACTTAGCAAAATTTCACTGACTTTACACAAAATGAATTGAAATCACTTCTCACGAACATCACTAACCCTAATATGCACACGACAGACTCGATTACATCTAAAGTGAAAATTCAGATTCACAAAATCCAAAATGACCACATTAAATGTTTAACTAGTCAAAATATACATTTCCTATTATGACAGAGGCCTTTAAAAACTGCGCCCCCTCTTTTCTGAATGATAAGGATATAAGACTAAACCTCTGGACAAATAATCTTGGTATGACAAAATATTTCTGTATTATTCAAATGGACTGCTATCATTTTGACAGCTTTTCTAGTGTCCAAATTCTAGCACTCTTCTAGCCTTAATCTCTTTCTACCATAAAAACCAGCCACAAGAATAAACTCTTGCTTTCCAATTGGTACAGTCACCCGTTAACTTTGCTGTGCAAAAGATATAACCCATCAATTACCAATTATCCACTAATGCCAAACAAAAATGTTTGGTGTATCCCTGAATTTGATTCCTCACTCCTGAGCAAAATCAATGACAATATGGCTCGAACAGGCCTCCTTTGTACTTAAAAATTCACAAAATTTTATGTACATTATTGTACACTGCAGTCATTGCTTCTAGGACCAAAAGGGCATTAAGTTTGAGAGAAATACGCACCTTTCCGACAGCCATAGTTCATTGATAAATGCAATGCATTTGAGTATTAAATTACAAAAATTAAGAGTAACTTGAGAAGACATTCTGTTTAATTAATTAACTCTGCATTCAAAGATGAGATGAAATTATAGCTAATCCATGGCCAGAATAAAAATAAGGCTTAATTTTTTTGAATGTCTTGCTGATATCCATTCACAATGTTGGAGATGGCAATGTCTGGCTTTGAGTAGAGCTGTGTGGCTTCTTAGGGAGATGTATATATGAACACAGTAAAACAGGTGTAAAAAGCTCATAGTATTTGCTATATAGATGTATATATGAACACAGTAAAACAGGTGTAAAAAGCTCATAGTATTTGCTAGAAATACATAGTTAAAGAAATTAACTTTTTTCACCTTCCTGGTAAAGAAACTGGGGTTCTGAGCAGCTAACGGGATCATTGTGAGTCACATGACAGTGCCTGGCAGCACAGACCAACAGCTGCAGATACCTGCAGAAGTTCTCATAGGTTAGAAAACAAAAGAATGAAGAGAACATAAGGCAAACACTTCAATTGCTCTACCTTCCCGCATTCTCAGCTATACATTGTTGAGTGTGCAATAAATCTCTGGCACCCTATTAGCATCTCCCATGCAATTTGCAAATCACCTTAACATATAATTAAATTTGCCAAATACTCTCCTTTCCTTTCGAGCTATATCATTCATCTATTTTCCCTTCTGTAGAGTGATTTTTCCACCTTTTAAAATGATCCTATTACATATAGATGAGTAAAAATTCTTAGAGGAGAAAAAAATCTTATTTCCTTCTTGCATAATCAATTGGAAGGCTTAAATCTTATTTCAATTTATTCATAAAAATACATCAGAAAAAATTTTTTTGTACTTAGAATTCTTCAAAGCCTTAAAGAAAGAAACATAAAAAAGGGCTTGGGAACTGGGAAGGACTTTGGAGATTATTTAATACAGCATACTTGGTTTGCAATTGAAGAAACTGAAACTTAGAAAAAGTAATTAACAATCTGAGGTACCACAGGCTGAAAGTGGGTTGCGATTGTCAGTCTTCTGTTAACTAGTCTATTTTCACTACCTATTATATGAAAACGTGTTTGGCATGGTAGATTACTCTTCTGATAGTATTCTGTGCTTTGCTTGATTGTATAAGCCCATGTTTTATTTCTACATGAAACGGTAGCCTGCAATAATGATGCTAATTTGACACTTAAATACTACAATGCTTAAAGCTATGTCATCGGTGTTCTGATAAGGTAGTTTTTTATGTCTAGTTTTATAACATCACCCGATCTTTCAGGAAACACTGACATGGAAGAACTTCCATGGAAGTTGGTGAGTTTGTTGTGATCATTCATGTAGCTGATAAGGACTGCTCCTGCTAACCAGGCTGTGATGGTCAGTTATAATAGTTCAAGAAAGCTGTAATGAACTATTTCCTAGTCCAGTATCTCTACTACATGGACTATCACAGAACGAAAACAAAGGGATGGCTATCTTTTTCATTTTCATCACAAATCATCTTTGTCTTTTGTTTTGGTGACACTGGGGATTGAACTCACGGCCTCATATTTGCTAGGTAGGTGCTCTACCTCTTGAACCACTCCATCAGTTCTTGTGTTGGTTATTTTAAAATAAGGTCTTCCTTAATGCCCAAGCCAGCCTAGACTGTGATTCTTCTATTTGTGCTTCCTTGCATAACTGGGCACATGCTACAGTGTTTGGCCGTGTGCTCTCCCTGTAAGTCAGATGACAGGTATGCGCCATTGTGTCCAGCCTCTAGTTTCCAGCTCATGAACTTTTTGCCCTGGCTGACCTTAAATCACAATCCTTCAGAATCCTGCCTGCCAAGAAGCTAGGATTACGTGTTTGAGCTACTATACCCAGTTTGACAAATCCTGAATGGAGGTTCACATAAGTCAAATTTGAATGTTGTCATTTTTTTTTCACTTTTTCCTATAATGATTTACTCTGCAAATTTTGACCACAAAGAAGAATGTGAACAATTCATTGTAGACCTTGCCTCCAAGAAAGTTATCTGGATTGTATTTCCTACCATTTACTTTGTGGCTACTAGGTAAATGGTTGCTGAATTAATGGTTCTTTTAGATTAATGAAATTCACCATTTGTATTTCCTTTTATAGGGCATCTGAAAGTTTCTAATATTGGCTTTTTGACAGAAATTAAAATTCTACAGGTGCTCTTTTTGTAACTTAGCATTATTATGTTATGCATTTAAGTAACAGGAGATTATTTACACATTTGTTCAGGTTTATTTGAAAATAAAATATGGAAATGAAAAAAAGTTTTCTGTATACTAAATGTTCACAGTTTGACTTCCTGTAAGGCTTACAAAATAATATACAAATAGCTACCGTTCTGCTGAAATGTCACAGTCAATATATTAGTAATGGCACAGAAGTGAAATGTCCCCAAATGGGAAGCCACCTTCATGACCTCCTAAATCTCTTTCCCAACTAAAAGTCTGCTTGTTTACTTTTTTCAATTGGAAAAGAGTTCCATTTCTTAAAGAATATAAAAATAGAAAATGAGTCCAAGAATCTTTTACACATATACTTTTGCAGGAAAGGTTATAAACATCGGGTGGAATATTATATCTATATATCTATATATCTTTAAGAATGTACTTTGTCTCACCCATGAACATCCCATGAAAATAAAGTTGAATTAATATATGACACATGACTGTTTAAAAGTATAACTAAATGTTAAACATTTTATCAAGATAGACAACTTCAACATATACTAAGTACGACTTTATTTTTGTAAAGTTAAGGTCCACTAAAACCTAAACCTAATTTTAAATATCATTTTAAAGTAAAAAATAAAAGAATGCTTAAGTAAGCAAGGCACATTTCTCTTAGGCAAGTCTCTCTTTAATACCATTCATTTGGGCACAGTGTTGACTTTATTTATGTGTAAATGGGCTGATCTATGTGTGGGAGCCTTTGGTACAAAGAATCTTGAAAAATAATGTTGCACATCACTCAGAACATAGACTATAACACAAATGTAAATATAGTCCAGTAATTTTAAAAAATAACCAGTAATAATTGACTGGTTAGAAACACACATTTAGGCTTTCTTTATCTGTAACACTACTTTTGTATGATTAGATTTCATTAACATATCAAAAGGCTGAAATGATACCTTAATATTTTTTAATGTTCTTTATCTCTTGATCAGTATCCATTATGCTGCACACAATATGAAGAGTATCCTCCAGCTTTGAGTTGCTTTTTCTATATAAAGCATTTGTTAGGGATGAACTATTCAATTTAGCTGAAATAAAAACATGTGGTAGCAGAGAGAGGGCATCGGTGATGGAGGCGCCACCGTATTCTCCATCCTGAGCATCCTTCTGGGCGGGGCCGTTCTGCAGCTCTTTACATAGGGCTCTCCAAGGACCTTTTGGACAGAGAAGATGTAATAACTTACTGCACAGGTAGCAACTAACAACTCTAGGCTTCTCTAGTGGGGAGAATGGCTCAAGTGGTAGAATGACTACCAAAAGCACAAGGCCCTGAGTTCACATCCTAGGTATGACAAAGAAAAAAGAAAAATATAAACAAACCAAAAAACCTCTTCCAATTATAGGCTTTATGTCAATAGAAAAGTCACATCCATTATACATTTTTGAAACTTCATTTTTACTGTGATCTGTAAAGTTCAAGCAAGTTTAGTTTTAAAAGGTTTGAGATTATGCTAAAATTATAAACTTTTCTTCCCAATATTTCTGTCTGTTTTTCCCTACCAAGCAAATTTTGTCCTTTAGAAATCTGACATACATCATTCTTGTTAAATATGCTTTCTACCATCATTTCTTATATATTATGTATGAGTGCATATCTGATATGTTATTATTGTGTAACCATGCATGAGAGCAAATATAAAATATACTGACCCATGAGGTTACCTCTTACTTTCAGTTAGATAATAAAAATCATATTTAGTGAAGTAAGCCAGACTCAAAGAAACATAGGTTCTATGATTTCCCTTATTTGCAATAATTAGTATATGTCTAGGATATTGGCAGATGAGCAGAATAGCTCAATAACTATGTACATATGACCATAAAGATGATGCTAAGTGAAACGAACTCCAGGACATGAACACAGGTTTTCCTTTGTTGTTGTCTGTACTATGTGATTTTTTGTTTCTTTTGTATATTCTTCCCCATGGTATATCCCCTGTTGTCACTGTGTTTGATGTTGGTACCCTGGTATTGTATATACATTTATTTGAATTAGGGAAGGGAAGGGGAACAACAGAATAGTGACACAAAGAACAAGGAGGGAGCCAATGCAACAGTGATATACACAAGACAATATGTTGGAAATGATTTGTACAAGTGGAGGGGATTGGGGGAGGGAAAATAAAAAACACAACCAGTTAAAGCAAAAAAATTAAAAACAAACAATGTTGTGGGGTCCACAAAACAAAATAGTCCTTCCAATTCCTTTTTGTACTTTTTTTTTTTTTTTAAAGTCCTAATGATGCATCCTTCAGAAGAGAGGAATGATCTCTGTCTTGTGTGGCCTTAAGTGACCAAACCAATACATGCACAACAGTTTCTAACTTTTGCTGGTCTCTCTAAGTAAATTCAAGCTCTATGTTCATTTTAGTTTGCTGGCATTTTTAGTAAGGATGCTGGACTACTTGGATGGGCAAAGTCAACAGCCAAGTCATTCTTTGGTCTGGTTTACTTGGGCAATTGAGGCAGAGGGAATATTCGGAAGGTGCATGGAGAAAGTTCCTGCCAATTGCCATCCCAAGAATCTTGCTTCCTATCTGTCACAATATTACCTAAAATTGTGGCCATGTCTGCAGTGCTCATATCAATGTTATGATTAGCTTTAGTCTTTCCATGAGACAACATGGCAGTTTTCCACCGCTTCCAGCATTCTCCTAATACCAACACAAATAACTAGATTGCCTAAGTGATCTAAGTTTTGACATTATTAAAGTTATTCTAACAACTGTTTAGTTTAGCAAAATGAATACCAGGAAGCTGGAACATGTATTGAGTGGCGGGGGGAGATGGAGAAGGAGATGAGTGAAGAGAGGAATGTACACATGGGAAAACAGAACCAAGTCATTTGTCACCCCTCTTGTGTGGGTGAGGTTTGGAAAGATGGAGAAGAATAATGGAAGGGGTGACACTGATCAAGACACAGTGCATTTATAAACTGACTTACTGAACTGAAGCCCCTTTATAAAACTATTTAAAGATAATTAAAAAATTAAAAACAATTGAATGTGCACACGTGGAAGATGGGGAAGGAGTGACGCTGATCAAGATGTATTGTACTAATAAATTGACATGTCCAATTGAAGCTCCTATGCACAACAACTTAAATGTAATAACAAAAATGTCTTCCTAAGAACCTGTGCTTACTCCTTGTGGACTGGGTGTCCTCATTTCCTTCCATAATAGCCGATTCCACAGCTGGGTGCTGGTAGCTCACATATATAATCCTAGCTACATCAGAGGGTGAAACTGAGGATTGTGGTTTGAAACCAACCCAGGCAGAAAAATTTCTGAGATTTTTAATCTCCAATTAACCAGCAAAGAGCAAAAAGTAGAGCTGTGAGCCGGGCGCTGGTGGCTCATGCCTGTAATCCTAACTACTCAGGAGGCTGAGATCTGAGTATCGTGGTTCAAAGCCAGCCCGGGCAGGAGAGACCGTGAGACTCCTATTTCCAATAAACCACCAGAAAACCGGAAGTGGCGCTGTAGCTCAAGTGGTAGAGCGCTTACCTTGAGCTGAAGAGCTGAGGGACAGCGCCCAGGCCCAGAGTTCAAGCTCCGGCGACCGACAAAAAAAAAAAGTAGAGCTGTGTAGCTCAAAAGGCAAGTCCCGCCTTGAATAAAAAAGCTAAGCAAGAGCCCAAGGCTCTGAGTTCAAGGCCCAGTACTAGCACAAACACAAAGAATAGTTGATTCCTGTGGTTCTACCATGCAGTTTGGTAATTTGATTTAAAATTCAGGTTATTTTAAGTAACTTTATCCAGTAAGGCCCTATTTATAGTGATTTATATATATATATATATATATACATATATGTATGCATGTACTAGGATTTGGGATTTGAACTCAGGGCTCATGATTACTCAGCTGATCTTCTACTACTGAACCACACATTTAGCCCAGGTTTTTGCTGGCTATTTTGGAGATGGAGTCTAGTAAACTTTTCTGCCAGGGGTGGCCTCAAACTATAATCCTTCATTGCTTTAGCTTTCTGAGTAGCTGGAATGATAGGCATGAGCCATTGTTACCTAATTAATGCTTCCCTGCTAAGGTTTTTAATGCCTGACTCAATCAGTGCCCATAATAGTGAAGGCTTCAAGGAGTTTTAGGACTCGTTAAAATTAAAATCAGGTCTAAGGTTAAGTTTCCTAGACTGTCTACTACATAGATGAGTTCCTCAACAGATGTTACTTTCTTGTTCTGAGTTTGCTGTACCAGTTGAAGAGTCTATACACACACACACACACACAACTAAAATTAACTTTTACATAGGAAATCAAGTTCATGAAGCCTCATAATTTCTAGGTACCCTTGGAAGGTCCTAATATGATGTGCTGTTTAAGTTAATTATGTTAAGAAATCCATCCCCACACTTGGCAGTGCTTCTTGTAGAAAACCTGCTGGTGTGGGGGATAGATGGGGAAAATAGGAGACAAAAGAAATCAACTCTTGGGCTGGGAAGGTGGCTCAGTGGTAGAGCGCTTGCCTTGCATGCCAGAGGCCCTGGGTTCGATTCCTCAGCAACACATAAGCAAAAAGAAAAAAGCCGGAAGGTGCTGTGGCTCAAGTGGTAGAGCACTAGCCTCGAGCTAAAGAGCTAAAGGACAGCGCCCAGGCCCAGAGTTCAGGCCCCACGACCGGACCCAAAAAAAAAAAAAAGAAATGTACTCTTTATCTGATTTATATAACTGTAACACCTTTGTACATCACCTTTATAATAACAATAAGAAAATAAGAAAAAAACCTGTTGGAGTGTGCTTTAGCAAAGGGAATTTTAATTCCTAAGAGCATGCTGAGGCTGATAAGCCAGAAGAAGCACAATAAGAAAATTTTGCTTATTTGTTGGAAACAACTCAGATGGGAATACCATTTCCTTTCCTCTCATCTCTCCCTCCAATAAATACTAATTGAGCACAATCTGTATTACAGCTACTAGTCTAGGTCATGACCTCAAGGATGAAAAGGGAAAACAGACAATAAACCAAACAAATAAAATATATAATACATTATAGAGAAAACTGAGTAGAGAAAACATAATGACAGAAGACTGCCATGTTAAGAGCTGTCTGGCAACATGGGAAGGAATGAACATATGGGTATTAAGGAGGTATCCTAGGCAGGGAGAGCTGCATGCATGAAGCCTTCAAGGTGGAAATGCTTCTATAATCCAACAAAAGCAGGACCAATGCCCTTGCTGCACTGGATCACATGGGAGTGTGGCAAAGGAGGCCAGAGAGGAAGGAAGGAAGGCTGAATTAGCCAGGACTTTACTACTTTACTAGCTATAAGGCCTTTTGTTTGCACTTTGTATGAAATAGAGTGCTGAATCATGCTTCTGGTCTTCTTTTAGCTTTAGTTAGGGGTGTGTGTGTGTGTGTGTGTGTGTGTGTGTGTGTGAGTGTGTGTGTGTGTGTGTGTGTGTGTGTGTGTGTTGCTTTACTCTTCTTCTCTTCATTTTCTTTTTCTGTTTTTTTTTTTTCTTTTCTTTCTGGTGCTCATCCTGAGGTTTGAACCCAGAGCGTGGGCACTGTCTCTGAACTTTTGTGCACAAGGCTAAAGAGTATGGTGAAGATTATAAGACCTATAGTTCCAGTTCCAGCTTTTTGGTGGTTAATAGCAGATAATCAAAGTCTCATGGACTTTTCTGCATGGGCTGACTTTCAACTGCGATGCTTAGATTTCAGCCTTTTGAGTACCTAGGATTTCGGACATGAGCCATGCACCTGGCTTTTAGTTACTGTGGGGGGGGGGGAGTGCAGGGAGGGAGGGTACTGGGGCTTGAACTCAGGATCTTGTGTTCTTGTTTGGCTTTTTCTGCTCAAGCCTGACACTGTGCCACTCGAGTCACATCTCCACTCCCATTTTTGCTGACTAAATGGAGATGAGCATCTCTCGGGATTTGTCTGCTCAGGCTGGCTTTGAACTTTTTTCCTCAGATCTCAGTCTCTTGAGTAGCTAGGCTGACAGGTGTGAGTCACCAGCATGCAGATCACTTTAGGGATTCTTTTGAGCAGGGATTTGGCTGCACCAAATTACCATTTTCATTTGTGTACCTCCCACATAACTGCAATCACAAACATTCAACACCATGCCTGACTCCTGTGATAGGGGTGGCCTCCAACCACTATCCTCTCAATCTCCACCTCCAAAGTAGCTGGAATAACAGGTGTGAGCCACTACACCAGGCTAAATTGGGAGGAGGGTAGGAGTGAAGGCTGACCAGTAAGCTGAGCATGGCTTCCTCGTCTTTCATTAACTTTCTCTGAAAGGTTATTAACCATTCCCTGAAAGTGTATTAAAAAAAAAAAGATTTCCCTAATACTTCTAAAATTGCCACATTATACTACAGAAAACTAGCAATACCAACCATTTCTTGTATCTACGTTATTTTAAAAGTTAGTAAAAATATAAACCAGAACAAAAAGAAAATAAAATCCCACCCCAAAACACAATTTCTAAATATCCTGTTCCTCCTTCTGGGCTCCTCACCTCTATCTCTCAGCGTTTCTGTATGTCCTCAGGTTGGGAGGGGGGAAACATGTGAGACTCTGCATTTCTTACTGAGAGGAGTTAGCACTTCTATTCACAGCTCAGAGGTGAGAAAGACTTGGAACTGCTGTAGAAAATGGTGCTATTTTAAATATATAGAAGTCAATAAATTATAGCTATGATTTTTAAAGGAGTAAAGTATTGATAAATGTTCTATATGCTGTATTTCTATATTATATGAACAGCAGTTAACAGAGGGATCAATTTTAGGTAAACAAACCATAACTTTGGATTTTTTTTTGTTGGTTGTAGGGCCTGAACTCTGGGCCTAGGTGTTGTCCCTTAGCTCTTTAGTTCAAGGATAGTTTTCTACCACTTGAACCATTGCTCCACGTCTAGCTTTTTCTGCTTATGTGGTGCTGAGGAATCAAACCCAGGGCCTTATGCATGCCAGGCAAGCACTCTACCACTGAGCCACCTGCCCAGCCCCTGGATTCCTTTTTAAAATTTCAATCCTGAGATTTTACTTAGAAGATTAGATATAAGGGAAATCATGCTTTTATGTGTAGCTGTTTGTGGTTGTGTCACCACAACTGGTGCATATTGAAATCTGGCATAATATCTGTTGTAACATTGTAAAAGAATTGAACACTAGCAAATGTTAAAGTCCATGTTTCTCTCTGGATCACCAGCTCTAAGCTGTATACATTTCCCCATGGGTGCTGATGGAGAGCAGTGATTCTCCCCACAAGAATCTAGCTACACAGAGACATGCTCAATAGTATAGACTCTAGTTAGGCAAAGTTAACAGGCATAGATAAATGCAGACTCATTAGCATTATGCTTCAAGTCCAAATCACCATCCATTTTCATTTTGGTACATTATGCAGGGCCTTTGCGAAGGTGCTAAAGCAAGTATGCATGACAAAATTAAATCCTGATGTTTTCCTTTGTTTAGAGCACAGATTCTCTTAAAAATGCATGGGGGTGTCTGGGTAAGAGAGTAACCTGAGATGTTTCAATTTTCTGGCTAACTCCTGCTTTCAACCCTCCTGTTCTTCCCTTTTCCATAAGGGAGAGTGAAAATGTTTACACTGAATTCTCTCATAGGCCTTCAACAACCTAAGCAAAGCCGTGGAGAAGAAAAATTTAAAAATTCCATAAAAGTAACCTACACTGTTGATTAAAGCATATTAAACAGGATATTCACCTCAAAACTGAGAAATATCCATTGTCCTAGGAATTGTTACTGAAGTCTGACTGATGATGCTTTCTAATATTACATTCAGATTCATCCATCATGAAAAAAGCAATCTTCTATTACTCTCTCTCTAGTTTCAATAACTTACATTTGATTCTTCTGGTTAAAAATACCTGATTATTAGGAAAGGGTTAATTTTCAGTATACTGAAATAGGTTTCTGGAGATAATGTTTCTTTACTTGAGTTTATTAATTAGTAGCATGGAAAGCCAATCTTAAAAGCCATAAGGGATTTATTTTATCTTTCAAGTCAGGTAATAAAAGTAGTCTGGGTTTTGGCACCAGGATGATCTGCTTTTTAATTCTTGCTTGGCTTTTGTTCACTGTGAAGTGGCAGGGAAATCACTGACCTCAATCATGTCTTTTTCATCCTAAAATGAAGTTAATGACACTTACCTTGAAGAACTGACAAGTGCTCAGGACATCAATGACCCTTAATAAATGGCAATTACTACTGTCATAAAATAGGAAGACAATGATGATTCATGTGCTCATGAGCAATGTGATTAAAAAATAATTTAATCTCAGTAAAGTCTTTGATGCATGTCATGTAATTTAATTTATCTAAATGTTCTACCTGTGATAACACATTTTATAGTACCTGTATGAAGTACTTATTATCTTCATATTACAAATACTGCTGCCTTCCTATTACAAACCAGTGAACAGAGAGGTTATGTAACTTGCTCAAGGTCATACAGCAGTCAGAATTCAAACCCTGCAGAGCTTTCTCCTTCAACCATTTTATTAAAAATCTGTCAATTAAGAGAGTAGGATTCATTCAACAAACATGCAGGGTGCTACTTGCTGTGATAGGCACTAGATTACAAAATATCAAATATCCAAAGGCAAAAAAACTCAAGATACAGGACCTATAACCTTTAAGGAGATTCCAATATGGCGACTAGAAGCAATTCTATTACCTCAGGATTATGAGGTGGAAAACCTGTGCTATTTCTCTAGATAAGAAATAAAAGATCCCTTCTGAATTGTTCTTATGTAAGAATCTAGGGTTTTACATCTTCAGAATACATGTGAATAGAATTGTCACCTTCATGTTAAGCTCTTTTAAGAACAGACACCAAAATTATTTTTATAGGATTGCTATTTCTAAAATGTTCAAAAATGAGTCATAAATGGAATTTCTGGTCACTAAGAATAACCAAATGTTGGTTCAAAGAGATCAATATTTAAAATAACTCAAAAAAGCAAATGAGAATATATATAAAGGTATCTTGTTTAGACACATATACATAGGTAAAGACAAGCAGCAACCAGGTATATACAGATTGCTTTCCTCTTCCCTCTCTTACATTTCCAATACTTATTTCCCAGTCTTTCAAATGCACATATAGTAGTTAGGTTTCTAAATACCTGAAAATATATCATGAATTTTAAAATCAGGGCTATTAACTGTAGGACAGAGTAATTGAGCATCAAAACCAAAAAGCAATTCTGTATCATGTATAATTTATGTAATATGGATGAAACAAAATGATCATATTTGAATAAAATGTTACTATTATTCCCATTTTTAACTGTTTCAAAGAACTGTGCTACTGATAGTAATTATGCAAATTAAAATTGGACCAGTAATCGAACAGCTGCAGATTCTGCCCATTATTTATTTATTTTTTAAAAATGGGAAACAGGTTGTTGAGAAGCCAAGTGTTTGGCAAATTAATGGAGTAATCTTCAGTTCAGCTTGGGTGAAAGTTGTTCTGAAGAGAGTGTCATCATTTTGAGACAAACAATGGAAACCAAAGGATAATTAGTCACATGGGACAAATGGAAAAGATGTTATAAATGATCTTTTAAAAGGAACTTAATGTAAAATGATCTGTTTTATAATGCCCCTAATCCAGGAATGAATCTAGCTATGAATGACACCTCCCAGCTTCCCCCTATAGAAAGGGACCATGCAGTGCTCACCTGATGCTGGCTGTCTGCTGGCAGCCCTTAGCATGTGGCTGAAACTTGCAGGCATTTCCTGAAGATTCCCAATCCTTGTTATTGTCTGTGATTTCCTCATTAAAAAGGTGCATTTGTTTATATTTGATGTTAATTTTGCTTGCCAAGTGTGGTGGTGACAGTTCTGATGTGCAATTTGGATTTTTCTTTTATTTATGTTAACAAGGAGATCTGAAGGTCTCTTGTGGTAAGATTCAGGTACACTGAATCTCTCCTTGGCTTATGTGCAGACTATGTTTACATTGGCTTTTCATTTTATTTGTTGGATTATCACTTCTTAGAAAATTGCAGAGAAGCATCTTCTAAAATTATTGCCGGATAACTGGCATTTAATTCATGTCATGCCTTATTGGGGCTTATGGAAACATTTCAAAGATATTTTCCTTCTTGGTTCAGTCACAGGGGGTCACAAGGGTGGATGATTTACATAGAAATAGAAACATTTCATGATTCCTTTCACCTCCATGTATTTTCAGACATAACTTTGTGTGGTTTATTCAAATAGTGCTTTACTTTATGAAATCACATAAAGTAGGAACCATCTGGAAAGGTTTTTGTGGAAACAACAGGGGCAGGAAAGGTGGGGTGGGGCTAGAGAGCAAAAGATGCCATGACAACCTTTTTCGGGTTTCCCAGGAAACATGGGTTGCTATGGTAACTGCATCAGTCAGGTCCGAATTAGTAACTTCCGCTGGAAGGAGTGTCTGCCACTTTAATCTTCTTGTGATACTGCAAAAGCTTATCTCTCAGATGCATTAGAATTGTTGTTGTTGTTGCTTCTCAGCAGCACTGGAAACATCTGTCTTTAGACTTTGGTAGATTTTTTTTCTGGGACATACACATGGAACCTCACCCAAATCTGTTAGTCTAATACTTTTGCAATGCCTAGCAAACTCCAAAGAGTTAAAGTAACTAGTCGGAGGGGGACTTGGGGGTTGAGTATTTCCCTTTGCTCAAAGTTAAGAAGTTTAAGATTCGGGGATGAGAGATTCAAATAGAAACTTCCAGTCAAAACCAAATAAACGTATGACTTGCTTCTAAGTCACAGTTCTAGTTAGATTGCTCATCCATATATTTAAAGGGCAGGCAATTTAAGTAATGTCTATCACTTAAGTATTTGCCTGCTTTGCTTAGTGAAGAAACAAGTCCATTTTAGTTTTGAGGTTCAACAGTTACTCAACTGTTTAGTTTCGTTTCCTCCCAGGATATACTTTAAAAAATTTTTTTCAATATAGGGTGTGTACGAGAAAACAAGTCTAGTGTCAGTTTGTTCACAAAATTATTGGAGGGGGAAGGCCAGAAACTGGTGGCTGACACTGGTAATCCTAGCTACTCAAGAGGCTGAGATCCCGAGGACTGGTTCAAGACCAGTCCCCGGCAGGAAAGTCTGTGAGACTCTTATCTCCAATTAATCACCAAAAAGCCTGACGTGCAGGTGTGGCTCAAGTGGTAGAGCACCAGCCTCGAGCGAAAAAGCAAAGGGAGAGGGGCCCAAGGCTCTGAGTTCAAGCCCCAGGACCGGCAAAAAGAAAAAAAAAAGGCGGGGGTGGAGCGAGGGAGAAGGAGAGAAAAATGAAAGAGAGAATGTAGCCCATTCGAAAACAGGCACCTGTTTCCAGGGTGAAGCCACGGAGAGAAGGCATCCTACTTCCTCGGGGGGTCCTTCTCTGGATGAGTGGTCTGGAAATGTACAAAACAGGGGCACACGCAGACCCAGGGGGCACGCTGCACACACGACACCCAGCACACTCTGCCACTCACGTCACGCAGCCTTAGACATCCGTGAAGATCTTTTTGATGTTGACGCAGGAGTTGGGGTTATTGTTCGTGGTGCAGGTGGCGGTGGAGTTGCCCGTTTTGAAAGGGGTCTGGGGGAAGGCGCTGTGGTTCAGGCCTCCCTCTTCGATCACCATGTACTCGGACTTGCTCAGGGTGGAGTTACTCCGCGCCTTGCGGAGCTCCTCGGCTGAGGACGACAGATGCTGGCAGCTCCCCACGTGCAGGTACTGGGCTTGCTCTTCCCCCTCTGTCTCCCGGTGATAGAAGTAATTGAAGTTGGAGACGATCACGGGAACCGGCAGGGCGATGGTCAGCACGCCCGCGATGGCGCACAGGGAGCCCACGATCTTGCCCCCGATGGTCACCGGGTGCATGTCGCCGTAACCCACCGTCGTCATGGTAACCACGGCCCACCAGAAGGCATCCGGGATACTGTTGAAACCCGAGGTGGGGTCGTCTGCCTCGGCGAAGTAGACGGCGCTGGAGAAGAGGATGACCCCGATGAAGAGGAAGAAGATGAGCAGCCCCAGCTCACGCATGGAAGCCTTCAGGGTCTGCCCCAGGATCTGCAGGCCCTTGGAGTGGCGGGAGAGCTTGAAGATGCGGAAGACCCTCACCAGGCGGATGACCCGCAGGATGGCCAGGGACATGGCCTGCTGTCCGTTGCCCTGTCGCTCGGCCAGCTCGGTGCCCAGCGTGATGAAGTAAGGGATGATGGCCACGATGTCGATGAGGTTCATGATGTTCCTGGAGAAGGTGGCTTTGCTGGGGCAAGCGAAGAAGCGCACCAGCAGCTCAAAGGAGAACCAGATGATGCACAGGGTCTCCACCACGAAGAAGGGATCCGAGAAGCTGGAGGCTCCCGCGGGGGACCCCGACGTGCCATTGCCCGCCGCTTCGAAGGCGTCGGGCGACGAGGGCGGCGGGGCCGGGTAGTCCTTCTCGTCCCGGAACTCGGGCAGCGTCTCCAGACAGAAGATGACAATGGAGATGAGGATGACCAGCACCGACACGATGGCGATGCCCCGCGCCGGCCCGGAGCTCTCGGGGTACTCGAAGAGCAGCCACACCTGGCGCTGGAAGTCCCGGCGGGGCAGGGGCCGCTCCTCCTCCCGCAGGAAGCCCTCGTCCTCGCGGAACTTCTCCATGGCCTCCTCGCCCAGCTGGTAGAAGCGGATCTCCTCCGAGAAGATGTCGATGGGCACGTTGACCGGCCGCCGGATGCGCCCCCCGGACTGGTAGTAGTAGAGGATGGCGTCGAAGCTGGGCCGGTTGCGATCGAAGAAGTACTCGTTGCGGAGCGGGTCGAAGTACCGCATGCGCCGCTTGGGGTCGCCCAGCAGCGTCTCCGGGAACTGGCAGAGGGTCTTGAGCTGCGTCTCGAAGCGCAGCCCCGAGATGTTGATGACCACGCGCTCCCCGCAGCAGTCCTGCTCGCCCGCGGCCGGCAGCGCGGGGGGCAGCGGCTCGTAGCGGTCGCAGCCGCCGCCGCCACCGCCGCCACCGCCGCAGCCGCCCTGGGGCGGCTCCGCGCCGCCGCCGTCCGCCGCCTCCGGCTCCGGCAGGTGGTCCCCGGGCACCACCGTCATGTCGGGCGGCGGCGGCTCCGGGCCCGCGGCGGGTTCGGCGTAGCCGGGGTTCACCAGGGTGTGGGCGTCGCCGTCGCCGGGGCCGGGCCTCGCGGGGTCCGGGGGAGGGTGGGCGCGATGGCGGGCGGAGGGCTGCGGCGGTGAGCGCAGGAGGCTGCGGTGCTCGTCCATGCGGCGGGGAGGGGAAGAGGCGGCGGGGCCCAGGCTCTCCTCCCCGCGCGCTCCCCGCCCCTGCGCCGCCTCCGCCCACCGAGCCCAGCCCGCCGCCGCCGCCGCCGCCTGTTGCTGCCGCCGCGGCCGGGCTCTGTCTGGGGCTGGCGCGTCGCACCCGGGCGGCTCGGGCAGAGACGCCTCCTCCCTCCTCCTCCTCCTCCTCCTTCCTCCTCCCTCCTCCCGCTTCCCTCCTCCTCTTCCTCCGCCCTCCTCCCTCTCCCGCTCTTTCTCACCCCCTCCTCCTCCTCCTCTTCCTCCGCCACCGCCGCTGCCTCCCCGCGGGGCGCGCGCTCGCCCTCCGCGTCCCCCAGGATACCCGCCCACCGAGTGGGCGCGCGCCCCACGGGCCCGGGGCGGGGGTGCGGGGGACCAGGAGCCACCGGCCCGTCCTCACCCATTACTGCTTTGTACACACCCAAGTCACCCTCGTCCTTGCACCTTGCGGAGTCCCCCAGCCAAGCCCTCATCCATCCAGCCGCGGGGCCCGGACCCCCACCCACAGGCTTGGGGCCCTTCCGGCCAGGGCGCGCCCCCTCCCGTCCCCCCCCCCCCCTTCCTTGTGGTCTGCCTGGCAGCATCCCAGTTGCCAGGCTGCTTAGACCTGAGCAGGGAACCACACCTCTGGCTGGAGCACAGGCCTGCCCTGGCCTCCTGACCCATGCCCAGAAGGCCAGGAAAGATGGAAGACAAGAGGCACCGTGCCCTGGCCAGGCCTTGTTTAGGGAGGGAGTGCAGGTCAGGTGGGCGTCCTGGGGAAGAGGCAAGCTCACCTAGTACCAGCAGTCTGATGAGCTGACTGCTGGGCAGAGGATCACTCTGTGTGTGTGTGTGTGTGTGTGTAAGAAATAGTACTAAGGGACTCCTGGGGGCTGATGAGCTTCTTCCCTGGAGACTGAAAGGTGGGCAGGCACTTTGCTTCTGTCCAGAGTAGTAGTTCACACTGGGTAGAATCGAGGATCAAATTTCTGGTTTGGGATTTGCAGTACTGTTCGTGAGAAAATAGTGGGAAAGGGAAAAGGAAATTTACTACATCTAATATATGGTTTTTGGTTTATTTAAGTTTTTTTTGAGTCTCAGAATCAATAGAAATCTTTTATTTTATTGTAAAGATGCTGTACAGAGGAGTTATAGTTACTTGAGTAAGGTAATGAGTACATTTCTTGTCCAGTATTGTCACACCTCCTTTGTTCGCCCACTATCCCTTCCTTCCCTCCTGCCCACCCCCACCCCTGAAGTTGTAAAGTTCACTTCCCAACTCCAAGCCTTGGGTCTATTATGGGAAGAACAGGAGCAGGACGGCTACCCAGACTCTACTTAGTAGAATGCCATCCTCGCCTCTGTCGTGGGAAATTTGCCCCATTCTAATTGTTTAAGTAAGAGAACTTTGAAGGTTTGATTTGTGTTTCTGTTGCTTGATTTGAGCCAAGAGATAATTTACATTTATTTCTTTGGAGAAACTATCCAATTTGTTGCGGTCATTGAAAGCATAATGTCTGTTCGCAAAAAGTTTGTTTTAGCTACCCACAACATAAGCCAACTCTAGGCTTATACAAGTCTGTTTTCTATTGTATAATCCAAATCATTTACAGAAGAGGAACTGTCATTGAGACAACACGTCATCCATCCAAAGTGAGCTGACAATTCAGACTGATGTGTGTGATTCATGGTCATTCCTTCCCAACCACAAAGCCCTCTAGGTTAAAGAGCAAGTCTTACCCAAACTTCGATTCCTAGCAACTCTTAAAGTATCTTGGAAATAACTGGATGCTGATGGTTCACACCTGTAATCCTAGCTACTCAGGATGTTGAGATCTGAGGAGCATGGTTTGAAGTCAGCCTGGCCAGGAAAATCTATGAGATGCTTATCTCCAACTGACCACCAAAAAGTGGTCAGTGGAGCTGGGGCACACGTGATAGAGTGCTAGCCTTGAGTATCCTAGCTAAGGGACTGTGACCAGGTCCCAAGTTCAAGCCCCAGCATGGGCACAAAAAGGAACATGTCTTGGAAATAATGGAAATTTGGGGTTCATTTGTTGAGTTGAATTCCCCAGTGATTCTTTACATTTCTATCTGCTCTAGAGTGATGTTTTCTCTTTTTGAGTGCAGGATCTTATTGGGATTCTTGAGATAAGGAGTGGGGGGAACATGAGCACTGAGGATAGTACATTAGTTATTTCTACCTCCAGCTCTCCTGGGTTCACGTGCCTGTTTCTTCATCTTCCACTTCAGGGACAGCGTAGTGCTGGGCACTGCAGGTGGTAATGTATGTTGTGAAATGGAAAAAAAAAATGGACAACTGTGTCAAACCCTCTTATTAAATGCCAGAATAGTATTTTGGGAGATAGTCACCTCATTTGTTTCCCTACACTTTTAAAGCTGTTGATTAGTATAATCAATCATGCAGGTATTTAGAATGAAACCAAGTGCTTGCTGCAAAGCTAGCTCATAGAAAGGCAAAGACCCCATTTTTGCTGCTCCTGTTCTAGTACTGAGGCCTGGACTCAGGGTCTTGGGCTTGAGCTCAGGCCCTTAGCTTTTCCACTCGAGGCTAATGCTCTGCCACTTGAACTACACATCTACTGCCAGCTTTTTGCTGGTTAATTTGCAATAAGAGTCTCATGTACTTTCCTGTCTAAGCTAGCTTCTAGCCATGAGCCAATCCTCAGAACTCAACTTCCTGAGTAGCTAGAATTAGACTTGAGCCATGGGCACCTGGCTGTCATGGATCTTCTTTTTGTCTTCCTTCCATCCTTCCTTCCTTCCTTCCTTCCTTCCTTCCTTCCTTCCTTCCTTCCTTCCTTCCTTCCTTCC